CTCGACATGGTCCGTGGTTTGGGTTTGTCCTACGAGTGGATCGTTGTCCTTTATATCAGACTGAACTCTCGACATCTGCTACCACGACTAAGCCACAGCTACGGTGCAGACAACCTCGGTCTACTGTAGTATTCGGTTCGTTGCGGTTCTACCCTTTTTCTAACCGTCGTCTTGACCGTAGGTGCATGCTTGGGTCTGTGTGGCTGACTGCAATACCGCCGTCCTGTTCGCTGATCGTAGGTGCAGACCATGTATGCCGGTAAGTTTTACATCAATGCTTAGATTGTCCATAATCTTCCCTCCCACGTACATTCGTCATGATTGCCACTACTTCCTATCTGCCTCACAGTATCTGCGTGCGATGTCTGATTGCCACATCATCATGACTACAAAGCCAAAATAGGGATCGGTGCATGCGGCACTCGCCGATTCGATAGACCCTGACCTTCCATTTAAGCTTTCTCCCACTGACTGCAGTGGCGCAGGTGAGAGAGTGATCCGAAATGACTGGAGCGCTCCCCGCCGCCACCTGCACTTTCGTTGATTCCGTCTTCGGTCGAGCTGGGAGAACCCGTTCCGGATCCCGCCTAGGTGTGGCATACAGGGGCAGGGGCGTAAGCAACGTTATGTACCTCTGCGCCTGTGATATCATGACAGTACCTGTGATCTTTACCCAGAACGACGACTGCGTCATAAAGAGAGAAGAACGTCCCTTCGAGTGGCATGGGGCAAAACGTCAAGATATCCGGTACCAAGGGACGCACAGGGCAATACTACCCCTTGAGCAATCGTTGTCTCGCAAAAAGATCCTCCCAGTGTCGCAGCGACAATTAGTGGTGGCAGAGACACAAGAATGTCGAACCGCCAGCTCGGTTCAACGTCCAGCCACAGCAGAACATTCGAGACTCGTCCCGCTGGCGAGTGATTGAGGTTGGACACATCCGGAACGGTAGTGACCGATGTTTGCCGATCCATGCAAATTCAAGCTTGATCTGATCTGGGCAAGGTCCCGGCATTATCGACCAAACCATGTATAGACCACAGCACTCTAGCACAACGCTCGCTTTCTTGGCAGTGAGAAACGAGGAATGTGTCATCGGGATTCCAGTGCAAGTTGAGTTTGGTTTCACCGCACGATAGATTACATTAAATTTTCAGGGTTCATCTGCCCGATCATGTCTCATCGAATCGCGTCTTCGCGATAGGTCTGGTGACATACAGCATTCTTTCCTCATCATCGTAGTCGACGAAGACAGTTTTCCCGGCAAAGCATGCTTAATTCAGAGTGCGACGCTCTCGCTTCAAAACGGGTCGTGAATGTGATCGTGTGCAACACAACGTTGTGACGACGGACCACGACGCCTGGCGGCTATGATCGTGACAAGGCACAGCGGCGATCGCAGCAAAGGTACACAGGAGTCTAGCAAGCTGTGTATGAGCTAGCCATGCTGCCTGACGTACAGCAGCCCGCGATATACTCCGAATTTGTTGCAGTGCAGACGGGGACAGGTCAAGTGGTCATGAGATCGGTTCAAAGCTAAAACCTGAACAGAGCAATTGCGTGACTGATTGCAACAGTGCCACAGATAGACTGTATTTCCATAATGAGAGACTGATTTCAGCTAGACTACCCGCGCACCTATAGTTGAGTCCTATGTCAAAGTCTGGGTGAGACCGAGGACGATCAGGGGGAGATTCCAGTTCTCTGTACTAGGCGATCGACTAACCAATGTCTCAGCTACACACACGCCGTAGATAGAGAGACCGAGTAGCAATACAGATAATGATCGATGGCCGCGAGACTGATTGGGGGGTTTGGGATGTGGCGATTAGAAAAGGTTGTATTAGTCTCATGTGTTACGTTAGGACCGGGAGCCCGTGGCGGTATGTCGATGATTGTATAGATAAAAAAGGCATGTGGGAGCGGTAACTCGCCGAGGATCAAGAGAGACAAAAGAGACTCTATCTCACTCGGGGCCTGAAGGATCGACGCCGCTCGGGTACGGCTCACTCAGGTACCGCCGTGGAACAGAAGCTTATTGCAGGTGTGCCAACGAGTTGCCGAATCGAGTAAAAGCAGGCCATACCGGGACTGATAAAGTTAAATTCTGAACCGATCAGGGCCGGCTAACTTCCGTTTCCGAGGATTCCGATCCGGATGCCCTTTGTGGATCCGTTGCGTAGAAAGCGGGAGGGGTCACACGGGCACACTCGCACAGCTGATCGTCAACTGGGTATTTTCCGATAGAATGGGAGCTAACGTAAATAAGCGACAGCCTTATGCGTCATGAGCCGGTTCGAACGGTCCATCCGATGAGATGGCGGGTGTGGCAGAACGAAGTGAACAAAAGGAATTTAGTGTGAGAATTTCCCGATCCGGACGGGTCATTTCCCATTTGAACGCCATCTATGTCTTGAATTCTACTTTTGTCATTGCAATCGTGTTCTCCCGCAGGCATCCTGCTGAATGCAGTGATCTGTGTCTTTGTTCGATTCTCATCTTTTGAATCTAAAGCCAAAATAGAGCATACACCAATTCAGGATCTTGTGTGCGCGGTATGGCTCGATTCGATTCATCAAGGTTACCTCAGGGGGATTACGCAGAGGCTCGTGATAGCAACTCTCGTTACCCACATTCGAGAATGAAGCTTTACGCCTGAGGCTTGTGGGCCAAGGCTGGATCGATTGAAATTTAAGCTCGAGATGGCGGTGATATCGTCGATTAAGATCTTAAAAGAGAGATGTTTAGTCGAGGAGTGAGGACCGAATCGAGACATTCATTATTGAGCTACTCTAAAACTGGCAACTGATAAAGGTGCGCCATCTTATTCACCACCTCTCATGGCTGAAGTTTTAACATTAACATCTGGTCCCCACCTGCCGCGTTCGGATTGTGTCGATCTAGCGTTCATTCATTAGTCCCCTCTTGAACTCATAGACTCACTCCACTGGAACGTAAAGAAAGACTCAAAGTGTCCCAAGGGTAGAGGTATATAGTAACCCACATCAAATCCCGATACCAACCTCGCCCCCTTTCTCTCTCATCATCATCATCATCATCATTCTCTACCATCTGTCTCATCCATTGTGATCCACCTACCCGTCACCGTTTTGATTCCAACCCGTGCGACAAGTCAAATTGATCGTCACACTGTCGTTCTTTACAACAAACGCTTAACTTTATAACCGCAACTACTTTACCACGACCCCTCCCCCTCTTCACCCCCTTACTTTTTCCTAATCCCAACCGACGATCACACTTACACACACACACGCTTCACAATGTCCGGCCAACGACTTCGAGACCCCGTCCACCCCGCCTCCCTTTGCCGACTTTCCACTCACAACCCTACGCTCGTACACTCTCTCAAGAACCGAGTCAGGCCCGAGTTCTTTGGTGAGTTTGATCATTTGATTCAACCGTTAATCTGTCACACGCTGACTTTACTGCAGCTCACATTGCCGACAAGACCTCATCCGTCATCAAGATTGCTCCTTCCGAAGATGCTGAGATGCTCACTCCCCCGACCACTCCTAACAAGGACTACGTCGACCTCAACGGCAAGCCCGTCGAGTGGTGGCAGATGCCCAAGGGCGAGGAGGATGACTGCAACGCCGACCTCCCCGAGCTCTCCGAGTTCATCAGGGGCTTGGTAGTACAGTCCAACGTACAGATGCCTACCCTCTCAGTAACCCTCGCCTACCTCGAGCGACTCAAGGAGAAGCTCCCCACTGTTGCTACCGGCATGAAGTGCACCCGACACCGAGTCTTCTTGGCTGTCCTCATCTGTGCCGCCAAGTACCTTAACGACTCATCGCCCAAGAACATGCACTGGCAAAAGTACGGTCGATTCTTCTCCCTCGCCGAGGTCAACCTCATGGAGAAGCAGCTCCTCTACCTGCTCGACTACAACCTCCGAGTCGAGGAGCCCGAGCTCATCGAGCACCTCGTGCCATTCTGGAACCCCGCTCCTGTCGCCAAGGCTGCTCCCGCGCCCATCGTTGCACCTCTCGCCTCTCCCCCTCTTACTCCCAACCACCTTCGAGTCAGCGTCAACATGCCCGGACCCAGCAAGTCTTCGTACTCACCCCCAAGCGCCAACATGCAATCGCAACAGGCCGCTGCCATCTCATCGTGGTCAGCACGAACTGCCGCCGCTCTCGTCCGAAGTCGATCAGACGACGTCTTTGAGCCATCACACCCTGCTCCCATGTCGCGATCATCATCAGCCTACTCAACGGCTTCTCTCTACCTCGATGCGCCTACACCCGCTCTCGCCCGACGAGATTCGTGTGACTCGGCCTCTTCGGTATCCACCACACCCGGCGAAGCATGGGGAGCCAACTACGGCTCGCTCTGCGGTACCATCGTGTCTTCCACATCCAACGGACAACTGGCAGTCACCAAGCCTGGCCTTCCCCGAAAGGCTTCTTACACCGCCAAGCCCGGATCCATTCTCATCGTTGACACCGCGGCAGCTTCCACCGCTGTACCGACCTCATCACCATCACCCACACGGGACCTGTTCAAGAAGATCAGGAACCCCACATCTCTCAGGTCTATCAGGCGACATGTTCAATTATAGGTCTTCGTCCCTTTTGGTTTTGTATCTTTCCCTCGGGTCTTAAGGTCTTGATTTCATTCTTATAATATCAGTCATACACATATACACATATCCCGGTAAAGTCTTCTGGTTGTAACGTTTTCAGCATCATTGACACCTACTCAGCAGAAGTAGTAAAGCAGTAGTAGTAGTAGCAGTATCATCATTACAAAACAAGTGGCGCTAGTCGCCTAGTGTATGTTGCATGAATCATAGCATGAAGCTCCACCACGTTCATTACATGCACATACATTCGTTTGAACAAGGCAGCAAAAGGGGGTCAAGGGCAGAATAGAGCTTAAATCGACATTGGTGCAGGCAACGGTGTCGCACGGTGCAAAGTACTTCAGAAGTCTGGGATAACAATATATATTGAAAAACAACGTTTTCCTCATAGCACTAATCGTCTAGTGGTTAGGATGGCTCCCTTCCATCTGGAGAGCAAGGAGTCGACCGGCGTTCGAATCGCCGTTAGTGCACACTTTTTGCGTTTTCTCCTGCCTGGCGGGCTCAGTGGTTCCATGCGCAAGGGCTGATTTCGTCGCCCTTTTGATAGGGCCATTCCGCAAGTTGCGGTGCAGCTGCACTCCACTTCGCTATTCTGCATGAATTTGCTTTCAGGTGTCCTTCAGATCTTCTTATTTGCCTATACATTTGCTCATCGTCGCTCTTTTATATCCTCGCACCTCGGCGCGTCCCCGGAAGAGGCAATCAACTGCCCACTGCGCTTGTTCGTACCGGTCATCATCACCCTTTCGAAGATGGCCTCCACCCTGCCCAACTCGGCTTCGTCTCAAGGCAAATCACAACGCACCCTCCCCCTTTTATCCCGAGATGAGGTTGCGAGCCGCATCATCCAAGGACAACAACTGATCATATTACACTCAAACGTGCTCAACGTGTCGTCATGGTCGGCGTTTCACCCCGGCGGAGCGCTCGCCTTACTTCATTTCGTAGGCAGAGACGCGTCTGGCGAAATTGAGGCGTACCATTCGATTGGCACGCTGGCTCGAATGGATAAGTTCAAGGTTGGAAGCGTCGAGGTGGATGATAAGGGCTGGATGCCACTCACTCCTCCTATCGCACTGGGTCTCGTGAGACACCCTGATGGCGTCAAAGGTCATTGGGCGAGAGAAGGAGCTGTCACCCTCGCGGAATCGATATTGCAGAAAACAATCTCGCTCGACCCGTCATCGGCACCTATACCGGCCAGTCCGACGGGGAAACCAGTGTCTCACGACGCGGAGGTGGTGACACTCACGCAGAAGCAGCTCGAGCCGACGATCACCGAACTGGACAGGGAAATAGAGCAGAAGCGGTCAGAGGCGTATCACGGGCTTAGGAAGAGAATTGTCGAGGCTGGCCTGTTCAAACCTCCTGGACCACTCGCTGGCTACGGATCTGATCTGATCAGGTATACGCTGCTGGGAGGTGGTGCTTTGGCACTCTACTTCAAGTGAGTATCAGCGTCATGCAGATTTGCGTGGGCGGGCTCTCCGGTAGCTCTGAAACATCCGAAGCTCACACCAAGGCTAACTAACCCGCAGGACCAACGGATGGCTCGGCCAAATGACTTCTGCCCTTCTTCTCGGCTTACTGTTCCAGCAACTAGCCTGTGAGTACACTCTGTCGCTGCTTCTCAGACCACTCGAGTTAATGCTTTGTCTCTCGCAACGCTTTTCGTTCAGTCCTGGTGCACGATGCAGGTCATACGGGCGTGACGGGGAATTACTGGTGGGACAGAGTCATCGGGATGACTGTGGCGAGCTGGGTAGGAGGACTGAGCGTGGGCTGGTGGTGCGATGTGAGTGTTGTCACAAGGTTTCACAGTGCCATGAGTCGATTACTGGGTACTGACCATCTCTGATCGATTCCGCAGAACCACAACATCCATCACCGTAAGTGCTAGCACCGAGACTAGCCTCACTCCCTCACCACCTATCACCTCTTCATTGATTCCCCATCGTTCTGTTCGAGGCTAATTCTCCCTCCTGCACAGTGGTCACGAACCATCTCGAGCACGACCCTGACATCCAACACATCCCCTTCTTTGCAATCTCCAAGAACTTTTTCAGCAGCTTGTGGTCGACGTATCACAAGCGGATCATGACTTTTGATGCACCTTCGAGGTTCCTGATCTCCGCGCAGTGAGTTGATGCTGGGTGTCTTCCGGTGAACCTGGCTCCAAGACCTGCCGCTAGTATCTTGCTGACAAGTATTGTTCCCCTGTAGACACAAATTGTACTACATCGTCCTCTCCCTCGCCCGATTCAACCTCTACGCCCAATCATATATCTACCTCCTCGGACCCAAGCCCAAACGCGACTCCTTCTGGGTATACGAGATTGCCGGTATCGCATTCTACTGGCTGTACTATGGGTCCATGTTGAGGGGTCTGCCCACTTGGCAAATGAGACTGGCCTATCTGCTTGTCAGCCACATCGCTGCGTCTCCAGTTCACGTGCAGGTAAGCTGGCGCCTAAGCTCACACACAGTCTGATAAAGGCTTGACCGGCTGATTGATGATCCCCTTACTACCCTCCCCAGATCGTACTGTCCCACTTTGCGTGCTCGACAGACGACCTCGGACCGACCGAGTCCTTCCCCTCGCGCCAACTGCGAACGACGATGGACGTGGTTTGTTCGCCCAACATCGAATTCATCCACGGCGGTCTTCATCTTCAGGTGACCCATCACCTTTTCCCCAGACTACCGAGACACAACCTCCGCAAGGCCAGCTTGCTCGTCAAGCAATACTGCGAAGAGCAAGACATCGTTTACAAGGAGCACAGCTTTGTGGAGGGTAACAGACAGGTCTTGGGCGTTCTGAGAGATGTGGCGAATCAGCTTGATCTGCTGAAAAAGGTCGCTGACGGGGAGATCCAGGAGAAGTTGATGAGGTAGACTACACTGTTATAGAACACGCCTAGAGCTTCCGAATCTTCTCTTGCTACATGCTGGACATTATGCATATCACCCTCTTTGTAAACACACGGCGCGAAGCAGGAACATGCCTCTCAAGAGGATGAAGGTGGCAATGGATCACATATTTGATTCCGTCGGATCACGGACACCTCCACGCTGTTGACGAGCTTACACGCGCCACCCGACGATGATGACGACCACTACCCGAACTCTCTCCACCACACCCTCACTCTTTCATCCTTATCAGATAGATATATTCACATTCTTCTGCTTACTGATACTCCAAACGTACACCGTAATTATGTCATTTTTCAAGAGGAACGACCCAAACGCCCCTTCTGCTCGACGTGCAGGAGCACCGAGCGCAGGTGGGGCTAATCCTTCCCCCTACGAACGATTACCCGCGGACAACGGATCCTATTCTTCCCAGCCTTCCTTACCGCCTCGACACAGCCCTGCACCTCCGCCTCAACAGCATTCGCGAGACCCATACGGAAGTGGTGGGTATAATGACCACCCGAGACAGCCGCCAGCGCCACAGCAGCAGCAACCCCCACTGCCACCCAGGGGAGGCGGCGGAGGTGGAGAAGGTTACTACGCAGAGAAAGCAGAGTACCGGCCTCAGGCTCAGCAGCAGCCACCTCAACAACAAAGAGGATACCAAGGGCATGGACAGCATCAAGGAGGGGGCGGTACGGGAAGAGGAATGTGAGTATTGCATATAACACTTCATCCAGCATACACATATACCACCGTCAAGCTCACTCCGCTGAACGACCCACACCCCTCCTCGATAGGTATAATATCGCCCCCTGCCCAAGTGATCCACTCGCCCTCACGAACCGATTAGTCGTCAACGCTTCCGACTTCTCGCCAGATGTCGAGTTTGTGATTCTGCGAAACAAGTTCATCTTCTCGATCGTGTAAGTTCCGTGTCCAAATACATCTGTCTTGCATATCTTCAAGTGGGGAAGCGGCGAGACCGTGCTGATCATACTCTACCGGTACAGCCGAGACCCCACTCACACGCTCCCTCCAAGACACGTTGGCCCCTCAAAGATCATCAGACAATGGGTCGGCCTTTCAGCCGTGGGAGAGACTGTGGACATCGAGCCTTATCACCCTGGGAATGGGGATTGGGCGAGCACTGTCGAGCTCGAGGTGAGCTCCGTATAGTGCTAACCATGTGTTCAAGCTGGTCCGAGCTCACTCAACTCGACTTGTCCCAGGTCGGCTTCCGGCTCAAGCGAAAGGAGACGTCAGACCTGTTCGATAGCGAAGATATGGCTGCGGCTTTCATCAACGTGAGTAGCCTCGGTACCGGATGAAGGGGCCGAGCAGCAACCGCTGATGACACATTCCACTCGTCACAGGCGTTCCCTTCCCTGCCCTTGACGCCCGTGCAACCGCTCGTGTTCGATTACAGGGGACACGAGCTCAAGGCCACTGTCCGGGCCGTGGCCACTCTCGACGGTAGTGACGGCCACACTGGTATCATCATGGAAGGTACGGAAGTGATCTGGGTCAAAGATCCTACCAGCGGCATCAAGCTCAAAAATTCGTCCAAGAGGTGAGCTATCGTGTCCGATTTGGTCCTGAGCGACCGTACACCGCAGCTGACTGTATGCTTCTTCAAGGGGTCCTGCCAATGCTATCCTGACGCCCAACTTCAAATTCGAGGACATGGGTATCGGTGGACTCGATACCGAATTCGCCGCCATCTTCCGAAGAGCCTTTGCGAGTCGTATTTTCCCTCCCGGTCTCGTAGACAAGCTGGGTATTCAGCACGTCAAGGGTGGGCTAGTTCGTGGCGCTCAGTATACATAATCTTCAGCTGACGTTTTCTACCTATAGGTATCCTGCTCTTCGGTCCTCCTGGTACTGGTAAAACCCTCATGGCGAGGCAGATCGGCAAAATGCTCAATGCGAGGGAACCCAAAGTGGTCAACGGTCCGGAAATCTTGAACAAGTTCGTGGGACAGAGTGAAGAGAACATCAGAAAGCTGTTCGCGGATGCCGAGAAGGAGGTCAGTGATATCGTCGCGGAGTTCACTACCGGTAACTGACGACTGCACCCTTTCCCAGCAAAAAGAAAAGGGCGACGAGTCTGGACTTCATATCATCATTTTCGACGAACTTGATGCGATTTGTAAACAACGAGGCTCGACCAACAGCGGCACCGGTGTAGGCGACTCTGTCGTCAACCAGCTTCTGTCCAAGATGGACGGTGTCGATCAGCTCAACAATGTCCTGATCATCGGTATGACCAACCGAATGGACATGATCGACGAGGCTCTTCTCCGACCAGGTCGATTGGAAGTACACATCGAGATTTCCTTGCCGGACGAAGCTGGTCGTTTCCAGATATTGAACATCCATACTTCAAAGATGAGGAACAACGGCGTCATGGCGGACGACGTCGACTTGGCTGAACTCGCCGCTCTGACCAAGAACTTTTCGGGTGCCGAGCTGGGCGGTTTGACCAAGAGCGCGACTAGTTTCGCGTTCAACCGGCATGTCAAGGTGAGCTGGGGTCGAATCTGATCCTTACATC